AAAGTAAACAGAAATCCTCACCACTAAACCAATAAACAACATCTGTATAAATGGAGAAAAGATTGAAGTTGTTAAGACTTCATTTTGCTCAGATCAACCATCAACATTCATGGAAGCAGCAGTCAAGAAATCAAACATTGCATTAGACAAATCTGCTGCACAAGACCTTTTTAAAGTGTTGAAGAGCAAAAATGTCATTTTTGAAGACTAAGGTATGCCTGACCCAAGCCGTGGTAATTTCCATAAATTCATATGCATGTGAAAGTTGGACAGCGAATTAGGAAAACCCATAGAAGAATTGATGCATTTGAGCTATAGTGTTGGAGAAGAATATTCAAAGTACCATGGATTACCAAAAGAACAAATCAATCTGTGTTGGAAGAAGTACAGCCAGACTGCTCCCTGGAAGCCAGGACGGCCAGACTTGGTCTTTTACACTTCAGACATATTCTAAGGAGGGAGCAGTCCCTGAGGAAGGATATCATGATTTGTAAAATGGAGAGTTAGAGAAAAAGAGGAAGACTTCCAAGGAAATGGATTGGTATAGTGACTGCAGCAGAGATGGGCATAAGTGTAGCAATGATTGTGAGGTTAGCTCAGGACTGAGCATAGAGTTCTGTTTTGCATAAAATCACTATGAGTTGGTACCAACTCAATGGCAAACCACCGACTATCAGAACAAACAAATCTGTGTTGGAAGAAGTACAGCCATTACGCCCCTTAGAAGCATGGATGGCATGACTTCATCTTATATACTTTGGTCATATTATCATGAAGAGCTAGTTCCTGCAGAAGGACATCTTGCTTGGTGAAGTAAAGCACTCAACATCAATCTTCTGAAAGCAGCTCAGGTGCAATGAAGTTTGGGACCTACTGACATTACTTATGTTGTTGATGTTTGTCAAGATTCGTTTCTGACTTATAGTGACCCTAAATGACAAAATAGAACTGCTCCCATAGGATTTTCCAGGCTGTAATATTTACAAAGAGCCCTGGTGGCTCTGTGGGCTACACATTGGGCTGCTAACTGTAAGACTGGCAGTTCAAACCTACCAGCTAGTCGACAGAGAAAGATGCGGTCATCTGGTCTTCTAAAGATGCAGAGTCTCAGAGACCTCGCAGAGCAGTTTATTATAAGCTGGAGTTGACTTAGTGGCAGTGGGCTTGGTTTTTGTTTTCATCTTTACAAGACCCCCAAAGCTGTCAATGGGTATGAACCCCAGGCTTTCAGTTTGCAGTCCAGTGCTTACCCATTGTACTCTTTGACTGTAAAAATACTAATAACTTAATATTGTGCTTATATTGTTCATTCTTATTAAAAGGATTACCATGTTGCCAATCTCTCTGCATCCCTGGACAGAATGAAGCAATGAAGACAGGATTTCTGAATCTAGGACAACCTCAGAACTAGGAATTTCAGGTTACCGAAAGTATAGTTGGGCAATGGGCAGGAAGTTCACTGACATGGCTCTAAGAACAAGGCAACACGAAAGCACCACCTAAAAGAAGTGCTTGGCCCAAGTAGCCTGTCCAGAACAGACCTCCCTCAGGTTCCACTCTGGATTCTTCCTTAGGTCTTCTTCAGGATTTATATGAAATCATTAGTCCCAAATTGTAGGTAGCCAGACTTCCTTGACAGAGCTTGTTTTTTCACACTGAGGTGAAACGGAAGTGTTGCTCAGTAGGACATCGGGCTTCAGAAATGAACATTTAACTCTAGAGAGACTTGGATCACCGCATGGGAAATGTACTAAAACTGGGTGTTTCAAATCCTAAAAGATTTCACAGAGACACTGGCTTTTAGTTTGGGAGCGTGGCATTCAGGGCAAAGGGAAACAGCATGAGACAAGAGTAGGAAGTGGTATACTAGGGTTGACTTAATACAGGGAATGTGGGATTAAAGGGATCAGGAGTATGGGTTTAGTAGAATAAACAAAGAATTCATTAGGACAGGTTTTGAAAAAGAATATAAAAAATAACTCTGACTTGTAAATACATAAAAAATATATTTACATTCACTATATTCAAATCCTGGTGTGGTGCTGTGGGTTAATGCGCCACACTACAAAGCTGTTTGAACTATAAGGTCGGCGGTTCAAGCTCACCAGCAGCTCCTCGAAAACCCTATATACAGGGTTGCTATGGGTCGGAACCAACTCGATGGCACTTAACAACAACAACAAATCTTCAAATAATAATAATGATGAGTTATTTATTTGCATATCTAAATTGACAAAAATGCAAAGATAGATAATTCACAATGTTGACAAGAGCTCAGGTGAACTGATGCTCTCATAAGCTATTGTTGGTAAGAGTGTAACCTGGGACAATTTGACAATGTGCTACATGATTTCTGATTCATGAGACCCCATGGGTTTCAGGGTGCAGTGGTGCTCTGTAGGGTTTTCAATGGCTGTGATCTTTCAGAAGTAGTTGTCAGGCCTCCTTTCAAAGAAACTCTGGGGAAATTCAAACCACCAGCCTTTCAGTTAGAAGCTGAATGTGTATGTATATGCACTGGACTATTTGTACTAAGTAAGATGCAACTAAAAGGAACCCTGGTGGCACAGTGGCTAAAGCACCCAGCTGCTAACTGAAAGGTTATATATATATATATTTATATATGTTGCTGTTAAATGCCATCAAGTCAGTTCTAAATCACAGCAATCCTGTACAGGGTTTCCAAGGGGTGGCTGGTGAGCTTGAACTGCTGACCTTGCAGTTCAAACCAACTTTGCAGTCCAGCACATGTGCATTTAATTTTTTCACCCCTGTTAACAGAAAGATCACTGGTTTAAACCTATCAGCCACTCCTTGAAAATCGTATACAGAGTCTCTATCAGTCAGCACTAATTTGATGGCACTTAACAACATCAAGGGATAATTAAGAATACACATAGTTGTAACAGAACTATTTGTAATAGAAAAATATTAGAAACAAAGTACATATCAAATGCTGTTGTTGTTGTTAGGTGCCATCAAGCAGTAC